TGGGTGCTGATGGTGAGGTAGAGTTTATCAGGGAGTTGTAATTAAAATTACTTTGTCAATCATCCATAATTGTTGTCTGTAGTCAAGAATCTACTATTTGTAATACATAGTAATCCATAAGCACAGCAATCTGATCTGTGCTTTCTGTCAACCTGGGACTAAAATACATGTAAGTTGGGAATTCTGCGTACGGGTTTAAATCTTTATCTTTTGTGACATCCCCAGGAATAGCAGGGCTTAATTACCCGCACCTACCCCAGTAAGATGTAACATTATCTTTAGTATCTTAGTTCTTAACCTCCTTTTAAACATTATGTTCCCAAATAGAAATATTCTATGGAATCCAAAGATTTAATGTATTTTTTCGGGGCATGTGTTGGCATTTGTCCATATCTACTACCTGAGAACAGGAAGGATTATATGATAATATTTTACTAAGTGTGTTAAAATATCGTGTATTCCTGTATGTAGTTTTTCCCAGGAATTGTCCAGCAACTCCATCCAGTTTTTGAACAACACTCAAAGGTCCAAGATTACCCTACAGTGCTTGTGATCTTAACTGTAACAAGAGTTCATCGTATTAAGTATAGCTTTTTCTTTCATTTCCAAAGCAATTGTTTACTTTGGTGGTCGACAAGAGGGAGAAAATTGGAATTGGGCTTGGGTATTGAGTACTAAACTTGCTCGGCAAATCGGCTATCTGGAGCTGTTGCTTAAATTGATGTTTGTGAACCCACCAGAACTACCAGAACAGACCTCCAGAGCCTTGCCCGTCAGGTAAGGTCAATTTTAACAGCCATTTAGTAATGCTTTCTAACTTTTCTCAGTCCTGACATTTTCATAACTATTTTAAAAAATCTTGTATGCCATCTTTGCTCTCCACGTGCCAGTATATTATTTGAACAATAAGATAATTTAGAATAAGATTGAAAATATTCTGCTTCCTAAGTTTGTTCTTTAGAACTGCAAATAGTTTAAATTTTCCTTTCATTTCTTGAATGTTTTAGTAATTTAATAGATATATTCATGAACAATGTTGGGTTCACAGTCCAAATCTTAATAGTATGGTGTTTCTGAAGAGTCATCAACTCAAAATTATTTGTAGCTGTTTATGGTGTCAGCCTGTTTTAAAGAGTGTAACTTGAGAGATTTTTCTAATGTTTTCTCACTACATCCTGTCGTTGTAAGAACAGGAGACAACAAGGTGCAGGGCTGGATGAAAACAACAGGCCAAGCAGCATCATAGGAGCAGAAAGGCTGACGCTTCAGGTTATTTTTCTCTCCACTGCAATGGGGAGCAACTTAATTACCATGTTTTTCTTGAACATGACTGAGAAAGACTCCATTCTTTATAGGTCTGTACTCTGCCTAAAAGTTCTCCAGGCTAAGAATACAGACACTAGGAACTTTAGGATTCCTCATTTGTTGCTCAGCCATCAACTTTCCGCAAATGATCATAATGAGAAGATTGACAAACCGCAAAAATGTGTTCCTGATTCATTGGCTCAACTTACAAGAGCTTTATGCCAATTTTGATCACTTTTTGTGGTAGAAATTGCACCTACTTAATGATCACTGAAGAAACTGAATTTACTTCGATTTCCCAGGAAAACGTAGCACCTGCAATGTACGTCTTGCAGTGTAGAAAGCAGAATGTTGTTTTCAGTCATCTACATAGTCACGTTCACTGGGTACAATTTTCCAAGAGCAACTAAAGTAGGTATTCGGCGGAGTAGGAAAGTTGTTATTTCTTTTGGTTAATAATAGTGGCTTGGATTCTCCAATCAAATTTAGAGCAAGAAAAGGACACATCTTTAGATCAGTTCTCCCATAGAATTTTCTGGCTAAGAGTATAGAAGCGGTACAGAGGTACAGACTAACTAGAACAGAGGGATTTGCATGGAAACTGCACCCATTTTTCTGCAGTAAATGCCACATTCTGCAATTTAAAAGTCCTGCTCCTCCTTTGAAAGCTACTGAGAGAAGCCAAGTATGGTTAAGAGTGATGGATAGAAACGGGTTGTAAGTGAGCTGGTGGGACAAGTGCAGTGTGTTAAGGTGTCGAATGAGTTGATGAGTGTTCAGCATTGTTTGAATGGGCCTTGATGTGGGGATGGTGGTGGGATTGTCTAGTCCAGTGTACTCGGGTCAGTGGTGGGGGTCAGAGAGATGTTGGCAGACAGTAGTGGCTGGTACAGTGGGGTATGGTGAACAGTTAGGTTAAACAAGTCTGATGGGCTGTTGGTGTTAATGGAGGAGAGGGGTGTGAGTGGTGAGTTGGAGGTTCAATGTGATAGCTACCCTGAAGTCAAAATCAATTTTTAGGCCTCTAATATTTGCTGGGTAATTTTTAAGCTTAAAGGATTTAGGAGCTTCCAAAGTCTCCAACTCTTGTAACTCAACGTGGAACTTTTTATTTTTTTGGAAGGTAATTACTCTGAGGAAATTTTAATTTCCTAGGCGTTTCCTATAGAGTCAGCTGCGTTTGAATTTTAGCGAAGTCCCATTGCGCATCTCTAAATTACACTGCTGCAATGTCTGTTTCACCAATTGGAATTTCTGGGCAGTAATAACATTTGCGAAAATACTTTTGACAAGCAGTGTTGATGCCTTAACACTTTGAGGATGCTCTGCATTTTAGTGAGTTAAGATTTCCCACAAGCAACTTTGACATGATGCTTTTTGCTTCCTGGTGAGGAAAGAACCATATTTTGGAGAATAGATTAAAGAGAACTTGCAGTCTTCACAGTAAGAACTTTAAATTTTTTTTTTGCTGTAATGTAATTTCATAGGACACCTAATTTGACAGATTTACCTTTTTAAGGAATATTCTTACATTAGATCATAGTTGAGCCACTCCAATTCTTTGGTCCTTCTGTTTATTCCTAAGCTACATGAAGAATAAATTGTAGAAGGAAAACGTAACAATGGTATAGCCCTCTTCCATTCTTTTGAATATTATTTTTCCTCTACATTGATAAAAATGTGTACAAATTGCACCACAAAGCAGAAGGCAATGGCCTGATTCTGAAGTTTTAAACATTTGGTAATTCATTTATCGGATGGATTTGTCTATTTTGCTAAATGAACAAAGCCTTGCATTCTAGTTACTTTACTTTTCCTGCTAAATGACCTCAATAATAATTAGCTTTTGGATATGGACCTAACTAATTTGTGCAATGTTTTTTTTTATTTTCTACCCTTGGTTTTCTTTTAAAACAACGCATTTATACTTGGAATAATTCAAATGCATTTTAGCATGTTATTAACCTCTAATATTGCCCTCGGTGTTATTCACGAATTTATTCAATTCGTTCTTAAAACCGGTCTTTTTCTGTTTAAAAGATTTCTTTTCACAGACTACAACAGGCTGTCAAGTGTTGGTGGAGAAACATCCATGGCTGAGATGATTGCAACCCTTTCTGATGCTTGTGAAAGAGAGTTTGGTTTCTTGGCAACAAGACTTTTTAGAGTATTTAAGACTGATGATACACAAGGTATTAATCTGTGATGGGAAATATATTGTTTCCAAGTGATATGTATTCATGTGGGCGCTATTTTTTGTTAATGAAACTAAAAAAGAAATTGCTAGCTAAACTCAGCTGGACTAGCAGCATCTGTGTGTAAAAAGCGAAGTTACTGTTTTGGATCTAGTGACTCTTCATCTTTGTTTTATGTTATATTCATGCTTTTAAAAGTACTATGATCTGTTCTACAAAGAAAGTTTTTTGTATCTCTTGAAAATGTCAGTAATGTAGAGTTGTACAGTGTGGAAACAGATCTTTGGGTCCAACTCGTCCATGCCGACCAGATTTCCTAAATTAATCCAGTCCCATTTGCCAGCATTTGGCCCATATCCCATTACATCGTTCCTATTCAAACACCCATCCAGATGCCTTTTGAATGTTGTAATTGTACCAGCCTCCACCACTTCTTCTGGCAGCTCATTCTATACATGCACCACTCTCTACATGAAAAAGTTGCCCCTTGGGTCTCTCTTAAATCTTGCCCCTCTCATCTTAAACCTATGCCCTCTAGTTTTGAACTCCCCCATCCAGAGAAATGTATGTGATCCGTAGCAATTTCATGTGCTAAAGTTGTCTGTGTCTGTAAGTACCTTTTGCACTGGAAAGATATTCTCGAAGGCAAAATAAATATGACTAGGCCCGTGACTGAGACAGGCAATTCATGGTTCAGATGCCCCTCCCATGCAAAATTGATTTATAGTGAAATTTACATTGTCCTGCAAACTGAAATTCTTTACCATCTGGCATCTCTGGTTTCACCCCACTTCCCTGATGTAAATGCACACTTCACCAACAGAAGATGTTCTAGCTGGCACCTGAGTGCTTTTGCATAACCTTATTGTGACATTCTGACATTTACTGCCACTTAATGGGAGTAATGGCCACTACTGAACAGGAGAAAACAGTAAGTATTGCACACTTTCCAAATACGATCAACCTCACTAGCCAGTATTTTCTACTTACCAGCAGAACCTGGTCCCTGTGTGTGCCTCATAACACACATTGTACTGTATAAGCCCATAACACATAGGAGCAGGTATAAGCCATATGGTTTCTTGAGCCTACTCTGAGATTTAATAAGATCATAGCTGATCCTTGACTTCAATACCACTTTGCTGCCCAATCCTTGTGTCCCTTGTTTCCCTCTTTAAAGACTGTCAGTTTCGGTCTTAAACATACCAAATACTGAACATCTTTAGTTCTCTGGGATACAAAATTCTAAAGATTCACAATTTTTCAAGAAAAAGTTTGGCCTCACTTTAGACCTAAATGAAAGACCCCATATCCTTTGACTATGTCCTCAAGTTCTAGACTGGCTGGCTGGGGAAAGCAGCCCCTCAACATCTATGTCAAAACCTTTCAAAATCTCATGTTTCAGTAGATTACCTTTCATTCCTCTAAATGCTAGGGAATACAGACATTGTCCATTTTATGTAAGATTATCTCTGCAGGAGATCAGTCCCAAAAATCAATCCATTAAACACTTGGTGCAATCCCTCAAAGGCAAATGAGTGACTCCTTGGATAAGGAGACCAAACCACTTCTCCAGGTGTGATTTCATCAAAGGCCTGTATAATTGCAACAGATTGTTTTGCTCTTGTGCTCTAATCCTCTTGCAATAAAAGACAAAATAAGATTTACCTACCTGCTTGCTTGAGGAATCCTCATGTATCTTGATCTGTTTCTTGTACAACAGCCTCCAAATCCCTTTGAAAACTAATTATTCAAAAATTCTGTTTTTGTAACCTCAACTCAAAAGCAAATAATGCCATATTTCTCCACATTATACTTACCTGCTACCTTTCCTTCCGCTAACAAGCATACCTATATCCCACTGTAAATCCTGTGTGTGCCCACCGTTTACAGAAAGAGCAAATAACAGGCTTGTTAATCTGTCTTTGGTACTGTTGGCTGAGGGAGGATGTATGACTAGGATCAGGAGAATTTTGCTCTTTTTGAAAATTTGCCATGAGACCTTTCATACCTGCTGAGCAAACACCAAGCATGTGATCTAATTTCACATCTGAAAATTCACATCAGCGGGGAGACGAAAGCCTACTGGTATTATCGCTGGACTGTTAATCCAGAGATGCAGATAACGTTCTGAGAACCCAGGTTCAAACCCCGCCATGGTAGATAGTGGAATTTGAATTCAATAAATATCTGGAATTAAGAATCTAATGATGACTGTGAATCCATTGTTGATTGTCAGGAAAAACCCATCTGGTTCACTAATGTCCCTTAGGGAAGGAAACTGCCATCCTTACCTGGTCTGGCCTACATGTGACTCCAGATCCACAGCAATGTGGTTGACTCTTAACTGCCCACTGGGCAATTAGGGATGGGCAATAAATGCTGCGTAGCCAGCAACACCCCCATCCCTTGAATGAATAAAGGAAAAAAAATTGCACCTTAGGAACTGCAAGAAGTTCTTATCCTAGATTGTATTTCTATCTTTAGTAGGACTTGAACACAGAAACCTTTGAACACAAATTTTACTGTATAAGGCTGTAACGTATAAGAGTAGGTGTAGGCTATATGGTTCTTTGAGCCTGCTCTGCGATTCAATAAGATCATAGCTGATCCTTGATTTCAATACCATTGAGTCTGTCACTAGCATGGTCAAAATGATTCTGCTAGCTTATACTAACATCTTTGTATTCTGGATGTCCTCAGGATCTGAGTGATTATCTTGAGTTGTTTAAGGATTGCGTCTTTTTTGTGTTTTCTAAAAACAAAACTGGTCTGAAATGAGTGAGAAAACTGTTTTAAAAACCAGTGTTTTGTAAAGGTGCTACATGTTTTGAAAAACACTGACCATAAAGCTGAAGTAAACCATTTCCGCTTCTGTGGCTTTTAACTGATAGGTGAGAACCCCTTTTTATAAGGGACCCAGCCACTTTGTGTCTCTTACCATCCAGTGGAAGCAACTAGAGAAGGACAATTAAGCAACGTGCTGGCCAGTCCAAGAGTCATAAAGATGATCTCAACAACAGTATCTGGAATGAAATCTATTGAACTAACTTTTCAGTTTTTCCCCTCTCCCATAACCTTTTTAAACCCTGTGCATTTGTGTGTGTGTGTGTGTATAAAGCGGGAGTTTATAAGGAGATTAGAGTTTTAATTAGCATTATATCCCTATAGTTTATAACCGTTTGCCTGTAGCTAAAGTCTGATTGCTTGTTATGAATTGTGAATCTTGTTCAGTACAGAAACCCAGTCCATGCTTTCAAACAATCTGGGTCCGAAAGCTAGATAAATTGGGGAACTTGGCATAATTTACTATTTCTTTAACTTTTGTGGTGAATTGGGAATAGTGGGGGCTCGATTTCCAGTGTGCTACCCCAATGAGTCATGACAGTTGCCATCTAATCCACAGATTCAATATAATTGGAGCGTATTGCACTGATCAAGTCGATTTGCTAGAAGATAGAACTCTGCATTGTCAAGCCAGAGCTTGGGTGATTGTGAACATTAGTGTGAAAGTGTTCACGGTTCCTTCTAATTAGGACATCTGCTCGAATTAAGAGGTGGCATAGCGTCCAAGTCATGCACCACATATATAGACACTATGTTCCTGAGAAAGTTGGGGCTTTTAAGGATAAAAGGGGCAACTTAGCTTAAAAATTGTGCAGACATATTGCTGATAGCCTGAGAAACTGCCTTTAGATCAATGGGTGTCTAGCATGCATATTGGATGTTTTGGGAAAATGGAGCAATCACGAAAAACGGGCCAAATTTTGCCCTTGTGACATATATTTGAAATTGTACAATGGTGCATGTCTTGGGAAACCTGCATGCATTGCTTTAACTAATTCCATTAAAGATTTCAATCTCTCAAAATTCATGAAACCTTCATTTTGAAACTGGAGGCTATTGGAGAATAAGACGACCCCTTAAGACCTGCTTTCCTTCGCTTTCTCTGATTCCTTCCTTCCTTCTCTCTTGGCCTAAGTTTGAGAGAGCACCACTTTGTCATATTCTACTGACTTCCATCTCTAATCAATCATCAGTCCATATCACAAGGTCAGCACCAATTTTGACACTTGCAATTTGGTGGTAATCTCTTGTGTGGAGCATTTTAAAAGTTCATATAAATAGCATGCAAGAAGTTGGCAAGAGCAGGATGTATTCAGTCATAATCTTATGCCCTTACCTATTGCTTATTCTCTATCACCATTTAGTCAGATAATCAACTCTGGCTCAATGAGGAGTGTAAAGGAACATGCCAGGACCAGGGTTAGGATGCAGCTGAAAATGAGATTTCAACTTGGTGAAGCCACAACACAGGACTTGTGTTTGCTAAGGACTTCCTTGATAATGTGCTGCACCTTCCACACCCATGACCACATCTAAAGGATACTGCATATATGGGAACATACGATAAATTTCCTTCCAAGCTACTTACCATGCTGACTTGGAAATATATCACTGTTCTTTCACTGACTTGGGATTAAAAACCTGGATTTCCCTCCCCATCATTGTGAGTCTACCTACAGTGTATGATCTGCTGTGGTTCAAAAAGGCAGCTCTCCACCATCTTCTGAAGTGCAACTAGGGACGGGCAATAAATTCAGGCCTGAGCCCAAGATGCAGACGACTTATGTTTTTTTTCATTTTAAGACCGAAGTAGATAGATGATCCTTAGAGCAGAGAGTCTGAGGTTGATGGTAGATGGGAAACATGGAATTCCAATGCAAACAGTTCACCCATGATCTTATGGAATGGCAGAGCCAGTTCATGAGGCCAAATTATCTTCTGCTCCTAATTTCTGATGGTGTCTTTGCAGCAGCCCAATGGAACAAATGAAAAGAAATCCTGCTCCTCTGTTCCCATGAGCAGCTGTAATATATTTGAATGGCAGAACTGGCATCTTGGGTTAAATGGATAACTCCTACTCCTGTGTTCCTAAATGGATTAATTAACTTAAGCATATAGTGAATTTAAAAAAACCTCCAATCACTCTACTATTCCAACAATATGCTTTATCTGTGTGTCTTTATCCGTGTGTCAGATAAATTATTGACCTGGAAAACTTGCAAGGTTTCTCCCAAACTGCCACAACATGCTTTGAAGATGAGAGGATTCCCCAGGAACTTATGAATGGCTGTTTAATACCATTTCCCTGATGACTTACTAAATCTCATGCCCAATTAGTTGGGGATGAATGGGGCAAGGTAGTGGGATACCCGGTGTGTTAAGATTTAGGCTTGGAGTTTTGGGTAGGAGCGTAACTGAGAAATATGCCACAAATCTGCTAGTTTTGGCAGTCATGATTATGACCACATTTCTGTACAAATTAATTTTGTCTAAATGCAAAATCTCACTCATATCAGTTCAAACACATAATTGAGTTGATTATTGATTAAAACATTCCGAAAAGTACCTTAAGGTTACTAAATTAAATTAATCTAAGCCATATGCACCAAGTAGCTGCTGCATCTGGATACAGGTCAGTTATTGGTTTCAATTAACTGCTGGTCACAGGTATTATTGACCAAGGGAGGATCACTTGATTACCTTTCAGCTTGTTTAATTTTTTTTGTATCAGCCTGTTCAGGCATGTTTTGACATACCTCTGGAGCAAATGCGACTTGAAAGCAGGGCTTCTGGCTCAGAGACACTACCACTGTGTCACAGGAGCCCTGAATTGAGCTTGTTTAAACCAAATTTAAAGTAATTATACTAATTTGATAAACTGACCAGAGTGAGGCTTCAGATGGTAGCTGATTTCTCAACTGCAGGTCATTAACATTGAATGAATATAACAATGGATCTCTTTGAAGAGCACACCCAAACAGGCGCAGTTGATAGAAACAACTCTGGTGGTCTGGGGTGTGGCAGATTTTGTGAATGAGGCTGACTTGGAGGAATTGATTTGAATGAGTGTAATTTGAGTATGGAAACTTGAGCATCTTATCAAGGTGTAATTCATATTTTAAATTTTGTAATATACTTTTTCAGTTGATCCCACCCAAATTGCTCTAATACCTGGACAGAAAACAAGTGGAAATTCCAAGCCTTAATGTTTAAGGTGTACTCCCTATAGATATTCTGCTTGTGAATCACTTTTTATGTTTCCTTATTAACGTACCAGTGAATTCAGTAAATTTAAGGTATCTTAAAAAGATTACCAATAAGAAATTAAACATCAAAGGTAATTTTAAAAGTATTGAAGGTGAGTTTGATGCAGTGATGTGGATACAATGTGTTTTGTTTGTCTCCCCTCAGGACTATTAGGGATGAACAATAAATGCTGGTCTAGCCCGTGATGCCCACATCACATAAACAAATTTAAATAAAAATGTAGGGAATATACAAACAAGGTGTTTAACCTTTGAAAGAATCATTTGTATTTCAAAAAATTGATTATTGTTGAATTAAAATCAAAATCGTAAAAGTAATATTGGCTTTTTTTCTTTTAAAGGTAAAAAAGGAGTGAAGAAATGGAAAAAGACCTGCTGTATCCCTTCATTTGTTATCTTTATTTTTATCTTGTGTTGCTTTGTGGCTGGCGTCTTGCTGCTGGCCATCTTCAAGGCAGATAAGGAACACCTGACTGTAAATGCCATCCTAATATCTATTGCCAGTATCATTGGTCTTGCACTGGTTCTTAACTGCCACACCTGGTGGCAGGTGTTAGATTCTGTCCTTCACTCTCAGAGAAAGCGTGTTTTACTAGCAGCTTCAAAACTTCATAAGCTAAAGCCTGAAGGATTTATGAAAGTAAGTATTCTTTATGTAACATGAAAGAGTTTACCTTTACAATTTACCAACGCCCCAAATATTTTATGTCTAGTATATATGTTATAGTTGTTTCACTTTTTGCTTTCTCTGAATCATCCATGTCTGTAAATTAAATTGTGTACCATCAGCAAATGTTTTGTTAATTATTTTTAATTCCTGAATGTTACTGAAAAGGCTGGTATTTTGTGCCCATTCCCCATTGCCCTGTTTTGTTACAAGCAAGTGGTTTACTCCGTGCCTTCACTGCATAATCACTATGGCACTATATTCCTATCCTTAAAAACTGCTATTTGGCTGATCCTGTTAGAGGCAGACGTGCAGTTTTTAAGTTAATTGAAGCGGACAGCAAGGGCCTGTTGTTGAATCTCAATTGAAGTTACAGCTGTTTTAGGACAACACATCTTCTGTGCTTTTGTTTTATTATTGGTTCATATGGATGTGGGAGTCACTTGTGGGATCATTTGTTGACTACCCCGATTGCTCAGAGAGCATGTAAGAGTCAATCACATTGCCTTGGGTCCGGATTAACGTGCAGGCCAGACCAGGATTTAGTGAACCAGATGGGTATTTACAATGAGTGGTTACATGAGTACGTTAGGCTAGCTTTTAATTCCAGAATTTTAAAAATTGAATTTCACCATTTGGCATGATGGGATTTGAACTCCTGTCCCTAAAGTATTAGACTGTGATTCTGGATTATTAGTCCAGTGACATTACCGTTGTTTTAGGGCTTCCTCCTGTCTGTTGATATTTTGTATACAAACCAGTGAGCCAAAACCTAGTAACCTCCAGATTACCATCTATTTACTGAAAGCCACATTATCACAATTTGTGAATAAGTTAATAATGCTGCAGGTAATAGTGATGCAGAGTAGATAGAGGGTATTCATCCTGTTGGATCCATTGTGCCATGACCAGTATTGAAAAGCCAATTAAAGAGGAATTTACTTCCCAAATCTGGTTTCAACATAGATTTAAAAACCTTAATTTAAATATAAATCAACATGAGCATGTTTGAAGGTCTTTTGGCCAAAGGCACTGCCCATGGTAGCAATGGCACATGTGCCAGAAAATTTCTAGTTTGATCACTGTCTATAGTGAATCACTTGATCTCATTGGAAGGATTGGGGGAGAGCAGGTTGTGTATTAGCAGTATTAGAAATTGGCTCTGAAGCACTAAAGTTAAGAAAATTAACAAATCTCGATTTCTGATTGTTAGCCAGTGACTCTGCTGCAGAGATTTTGGACCTGGATATTACATGAAAAATTGTTGGGATGTTGAGTAGCAAGGAGGATAGCCTTAGATTACTGGAGGGTATCGAGAAGCTGGTCAGATGGCCTGATCAGTTGCAAGTGGGATTCCGTTCACATAGATGTGAGGTGATGCACTTGTACAGGACAAACAAGACAAGGGAATACATAGTAAATGGTAGGATCCTGGGAAGCATCAATGATTAGAGGGATTATAGTGTGCATGCGTACTGATTCCTTAAGGTATCAGGATGGGAAGATAATGTGGTTAAGAAGGCATATAGTTTACTTGCCTTTATTGGCTGAGTCATAGAGATTAAGAGTAGGGAGGTTAATGCTGGAACTATTTAAAATGTTGATTAGACCATCGCTAGAATATTGTGTACAGTTCTGGAATCTGGGATGTAATAATCACCTAAGAGGATGCAGAGGAAATTTACCAGGATGCTGCGTCGGCTGCAGAGTTTCAGTTATGAAGAGAGATTGGACAGACTGGGGTTGTTTTTCTTTAGGGCAGTGGAGAATGAGAATGGGTGTGATTGAAATGCATAAAATTATGAGGGGCGTGGATAGGGTAGACAGGAAAATACTTTTCCCTTGGATGTAGGGATCAGTGACTAGGGAGCATTGATTTAAGGTAAGGAGCAGAAGGATTACAGGAGATGTGAGGAAAAACTTATTCACTCAGAGATGGTGGGAATCTGGAACTCACTGCCTGTAAAGGTGATAGAGGCAGAAGCCCTCATAACATGAAGAAAAAAGTGCTTCGATGTGCATGTGCACTGTCAAGGCATACAAGACTACGTGTCAAGTGCTGGATAACGGGATTAGAATAGTTAGGTAGTTTTTGATCTGTTCGGATGCAGTGTTCTGAAGGGTATTTTCTGTACTATAGGTCTCTATGTTTATGACTCTAAGGTCAGTTATAGTATTCCCCTGGGCAGATAGCTGATGGCACTTGATGTCTAAGCTCTCAGACAAAGAAGACTCATAAGAAATGCGCCAGGGGAAGGCCTAGGTTGCCTTGATTCAGATTAATTCTGTGGAATAAAAAAAGCAGTGGAAAGAAAATACATTTCTGACTACGCTATTCTTGTACAACTAAACCGTTGATTCATTTTTTGTACTTTGTCTTTTTTCTACTCATCTATAATGGTAAATTATTTTGTGGAAAAATATTATGTTTTCTCAAAGGTCCTAAAGAATGAAGTGGAACTCATGGCTCAGATGACCAAGTCTATTGATGGCTTTACTCAGAATCAGACGCGACTTGTGGTTGTTATTGATGGATTGGATGCATGTGAACAAGATAAAGTCCTGCAGATGCTAGACACAGTAAGTAATTTTTCAGACGTTAACAAATTCCTTCATAATGAAGTTATTTATCAACTTTTGATATAAACTAAATTTAATGGTTCGGTGAGTTTTAAAACAAAAAATGTTTGTGTCCAATTTTACTTCTGTCGTCTTATTGAGTTTGGTTAAATAATACCTGAATCCGGCAATAATTTCAGTAGAGCTATTGATTGCACCAAAGAGATAGGTTAAGTTGACCTGGATTTTGCAGTTAGACTAACAGTGAAATTATTGACCAACTGTTAACGGGTAAATTTTGACACCCATGTATGTGCAGTTGAATGTGGAAATTAGGAAGTTACTGTCCAGTTTCTTGTTTTTGTTTCAATTTTTGCATTCCTCCCTGCTTCTCCACAAGTTTCACTGTCAGTATTTGCATTCACATATATGCAATGACATGATGTCGAAGTCCTTACTGACTAGATACCCATTTAATATGTCAGAAAAAGTTAGGATCGTTCACTTTAAATGCAAGTTAAATTTATAACGGTTGGTAAGTCGCAGAAGCTTTCCTTTCATCTGTTCTTTTGTTCTCTCTCCTGTCTGTCTGTCTGTCTCTTTCTTTCTGTCTGTCTGTCTCTGTGCAGTAGGTTTGTTTGCAAAATTAATTCCTGTGAGATAATGTAGCAGCATGGATGCAAAATTGGTTCAGAGATTGAAAACAGTGTTATTGTGAATAGCTGTTTTTCAGACTTCAGAGAGTTATATGATGATGTTCCCAGGGTTCAACACTAGGAACACTGTTTTTGACAGGCATTAATGGCTTAGGCTTGGGGATAAAGGGGGCAGTATTGAATGTTGCAGGTGATAAGAAACACAGACATGTACTAAACAGTGAGGATGATAGTAATAGAGACTGCGGTGGGGAAGCTAGATACATGTAGATGAAATTCAATGAACTGTGAGCTAATATATTTTGTTGGGAAGAACAAGGACGGACAGTATAAGCTAAATGATTCTAAAGGAGTGCACAGGCTGAGAAAATAAGGAGCTGATTATGCACAAATAAATAGAGGCATGCAATACAAGACCAGGGAGTTATTCTAAACCAGTATAACACAATAGGTTAAACCCAGCTGGAGTATTGTGTCCAATTCTGGACACCATATGTTAGGAAGGATGTGAAGGGTTTGAAAAGGGTATAGAAGAGATTTTACAAGATTTCTGAAGAAGGGGCCAGACCCGAAACGTCAGCTTTCCTGCTCCTCTGATGCTGTCTGGCCAGCTGTGTTCATCCAGCTCCACACCCTGTTATCTCAGACTCCAGCATCGGCAGTTCCTACCATCTCTTACAAGTGAATTCTGTGTTTGAGGGGACACAGTACATGGATAGAATTGAGATGCTTGGATTGGTCTCCATTGAGCAGAGAAAATTTGATGAAAATCAAGAAGAGTCTAAATAAAGGAAGTGACAAGAAACTGTTTTAAGTGGCTGTGGGATTGTTACGGTGAAGGCACAGATTAAAGGTATTTTCCAAAATGTTAAGAGATGATGTGAGGAAAATATTTAACACACAAGTTAGAATTTGGAATACACTGCCTGATAGAGTGGTGGAAGCAAATTCACCACTGACTTTCAAAGGAATTGAATAAATATCTGAAGGAAAACAAGTTGCAAATGTAGTGGGTGGGGAGAGAAATCGTGGGGGATGCAATTGGATTCCTCTCTGAAAGAGAAAGCACAGAGTCGATGGGCTGAATGGCTGCTTGGACTAATTTTCTCATTCCATATTGTAAAGGGAAATTGATAAAATGGTGGAAATGGCAGAAAAGTAGTAAATGGAAATCAAAATGCAAAGGTACTCTTTTTGGTTGAGAAAGTAATGATCATACTTGGATGATAAGGAAGCTAAGTGATGTGGAAAATCAAAAAAAAGGCCTTGGGGTTTACATTTGCAAGATGTAATAAAAGCAATAATTCAGGGAGAAAGTCATAGAAAACAAATAAAACATTGGGTTTCATCGCAAACGATAATTTAAATGTTGGTACACCATATGAATCTATACAGAACTTTCATAATACAATAGTTGGAATACAATGTAGAATTTTATGTTGCACATAATAGGAAAGATATCAAAGCATTATGTAAAATATAACTGATTAACTAGAATGATGCTGACATATACAAAGATTGGAAAAAGAAGAGTTTTAGAATGGATGCCTTTGACAAGTACTAATTTGATAGTGGTGTTTGAAATTATAAAGTGGTAGCGTCGATCAGTGTTTGTAAAATAGTGTGCCAAATTCTTAAATATCAACTTTGCCATATTATTGTCTTCTAGGTACGGGTTCTGTTTTCAAAAGGACCCTTTATTGCCATTTTTGCCAGTGATCCACATATCATCATAAAGGCTATCAATCAAAATCTGAACAGTGTTTTAAGAGACTCTAATATAAATGGACATGACTATATGAGGAATATAGTCCATCTGCCAGTTTATCTTAACAGTCGTGGGCTTAGTAGTACAAAGAAGGTCTTTGCAGCAGTGCCATCTAATGGAGATGTAGGAAACTCGGATTGTACAAGTAAGAAGATAACAGTGACTTAAAATTTATAATGCATACTTTGTGATTATTCTAGCTGGGAGTATAAATACATTTTAACAGTCCTTGTTACTGTGTCGCAGGTTGGCATGAAGATAACGATCGAAAACTTTCACAACACAGCTTGGGAGAATTGACCAAACTCGGCAGTAAAACAGCCCTCAATAGAAGGGTAAGAAACAGGTTTAAAATTCAAGTTAATTTTTTAGTTTTTTGTTTCATCTGATGCTTGCAGGATGTTTTATTGTGTAAGATGATTGAACTACTTTCATAGTAAATTCAAAAGTAGTCTGGAAATTAGTATTGACTGAGAATTATGTCATTTCTGACAACACCTCTGAAAGAGAAAAGAGCAATTCTGGAAGGAGGAGTCATTGAACTCGATGCATTAACTTTTTTTTTGTCTAAAGATGCTGTCTGACCTGAGTTTATGTAGCACCTTATTTAAAATCTCTAAAAGAGAAATTGATAGTGATAGTAGGACTGATGATTTGCACATTGAGATTATTAAATGTGTAAGGAGGATCCTACAAGAATCTGTTTGACCTTTTCCTTTTTATTTCTTAGGATCAAAGTGAAATTAAGTACTGTGTTTTGTCTTGTACCTAGTGCTATGTTGTGTGAGTTGTGTAGGGTTTAGCAACCATATTAACTAAAAATAGCAGTCTTTTCTGTTAGTACATTTCTGCATATTAAATTCCAAATTGATTCGTCTCGTGAAATTGTGGAGAGATCAATTGCTTTGTGTAGGAATAGATTATCTTGGGCCACGGCTGCTTGTAGCCACCTTCCAAATAATATTGACAGCTATGGAGAAGGTTCCTGTTATGCTGAACAGAGCATACTGAATGGTACAGTGAGACCCAAGAAGGGGGAAGAGGACAAAGTACTTTTTTTGTAAATTTAAGAACCATTCAGTGTCAAGGGATTGTTTAGAGGCCAATAATATAAGGAGGCAAGTGCTGTCAAACAGCATTGATTAGCAGTCCAGGCATAGGCCAAACATATGCATTTTAGAGGTATTCTTTGGCCTTATTTAAATGCCTTACTAAAATTAACTGCGATTCATTCATTGCTAAGTGAGTGCTGCAGTGAGGCATGTGCTCGGACTTTTTATGGCACTGCTCTGACAAAATGAGTCCCAGATTAGAATTTTAATATTAAATGCTTAAACTTCTTAAATTTTGTTTTATATGGAACTCATCTATCAACCTTGGATCAGAGTAACGCTGTGTCTTCTTGCATTAAGCTCCACTCCAAAGACAAGAAAATAATCACTTCGATGTAGCATAGAAAGAAAGATTGACAGAGAGATTCTGGATGTGCTATTGAACTAGGTCACCTATAGAGTCATATAGCATGGAAACCGACCCTTCAGTCCAACCAGTCCATGCCAACTGTGTTCCCAACTAAACTAGTCCCACCTGCCAGCGCTTCGCCCATATCCCTCCAAACCTTTAATATTCACTAACTTATCCAAATGTCTTTTAAACATTGTAACTGTACCTGCATCCACCACTTTCTCTGGCAATCCATTCCACATTTAAACCACTCTCTGTATGAAAAATAATTCCCTTTTAAATAATTGTCCTTTTTAAAGTCTTTCTCCTCTCACCTTAAAAAGATGTCCCCTAGTTTTGAACTCTCCCACCCTAAGAAAAAGACCTTTTGTCATTCACCTTATTTATGCCCTTCATGATTTTATAAACCTCTATAAGGTCATCCCTCAACCTCCTAAACTCCAGTGAAATAGTCCACTCATTTCCAGTCTGTGTTTAAATCTCAAACCCTCCGTTCCCAGTTGCGTCCTGGTAAATCTTTTCCTAGTCCTATTCAGTTTAATAATATGCTTCCTATAATAGGGCAACCAAAACTGCGCACTGTACTCCAGAAGAGGCTTACCAATGTCCTGTACAAACTCAACGTGTTCTTATGTGCCTTCTCATGTAAATGTAGATGATCCCATTCCACTATTAAGAGATAAGCAGAGGAAGTTGCTAGCATCTCGTCCCTTGTCTTTTATCACTTATGCAGACAACCATTGTCATTTATCTCATTACTGTTTCTGGTGTCTTGTTGCGCATAAATAAACTGCAAAATATGTTTGTATTTTAATAATGCTTTAACTGCAAAAGTGTTTGATTGCTTTAAAGTGATTTGGAAAATCTTCAAATTGTGAAAAGCTGTATGTAAATGTAATTCCTTTCAGTTACCCTGTCCTTCTATGTCCCTCTCGTTTTGCTTTTTCATTTTTGTGTACACTAATCATTTCCTGTACCAACAGGATACATATCGTCGTCGACAAATGCAGCGGCAAGTTACACGGCAAATGTCTTTTGATCTGACCAAACTTCTGGTTACTGAAGATTGGTTTAGTGACATTAGTCCTCAGACTATGAGGCGATTGCTCAACATTGTTTCTGTGACCGGTAAGCAGCAACTTTTGATTCGTGTGTTTCAAGTATTTTTCAGTATATACTTGCATTGTCATGAAGAGTTTGGCTAAAAGATAAGAAACCGGGTAAGTATGGGTAGGCCTTTCTCAGACTGGAGTCAAGTTGAAAGTGGTGTTCCTCAGAAATCTTCGTTGGGACCCTTGTTTTTTCTGATTTATATAAACTATTTGGAGATAGGTGTTGAAGGCAACAATCTCTAAATTTGCAGGTGGTGCTAAGCTAAGGAGAATAGTGAATTGTGAGGATGATGCTGAATGATTTCAGAGTAACATTGACAAGTTGGCCAAATGGGTGGGCACCTGGCATATGAATTTGACTACAGTGAAATGTGACATAATGCATTTAGGTAGAAGAAACGTAGAGAGACAATGCCGCTCAATGGTACAACTTTGAGGGAAGTACAGGGGCAAAAGGACCCCTGAGTTCACATTGCATAATTCTCTGAAGGTGGCCAGGCAAGTTGATGCAGTAGTTAAGAAGACTTGTAGGATCCTTGGGTTTATAAATTGAAGCATAGAATAAAAAAGCAAAGAAATGATGCTACACTCTACAAATCATTGCTCAAACCACATTTGGAGTCTGGTGTTCAGTTCTAGATACCTTGTTTAAGGAAGGATATTAAAATCCTGGAGAGGGTGCAAAGGAGATTGACTAGAATGAGGAATCGGGGATTTTAGATGCGAGGAAAGATTAGAGAAATTGGTCTTATTCTCCTTGCAGCAGAGAAGATTACGAGATGACCTTTTATTGAGGTGTTCAAAATGATGGTCAGTTTTGACTGGGGAAGGAAGGATATTCTGTTTCTGCTAATTGGTGTGTGACTAGCTAAAGATCACAATTTCAAGATTGTCAGCAAGAGAGCGAGAAGTGAGATGAGGAGAAACTTATTTACTTAGAGTTGTTAGGATTTAGAATGCGTGCCTGGGAGAGTGGTGGAGGCAGATTCCATAGGAGGGTTCAAAAGAGAGCTGGATATATAGAATCATGGAAATGTAGAGTATGGAAGCAGACCCTTTGGTCCAACTCGTCTATGCAGACCAGACATCATAAATTAATCTAGTCCCATTTGCCAGCATTTGGCCCATATCCCTGTAAACCCTTTCTATTCATGTACCCATATAGATGCTTTTTAAATGTTATAATTTATACCAGCCTCCACCATTTCCTCTAGCAGCTCATTCCATACACTCAGCACCCTCTGCGTGAAAAAGATGCTGTTCAGGTCCCTTTTATATCTTTCCCCTCTCACCTTAAACTTGTGCACTGTCTAGTTATGGACTCCCGTACCCTCAGAAAAACACCTTGGCTTTTCACCCTATCCATGCCCCTCATGATTTTATTAACTTTTATAAAGTAACAGCTCAGCCTCCCATGCTCCAGGTATGTTTGAAAGTAATGAATTTAGAGGGCAACAGAGATAGCTAGAGACTGGGGCCAGCTAGGGAGCTCTTTTGGGAGCTGGTACGGACACAGTGAGTCAAACGGCCTCTTCCTGTACTGTAAAGTTCTATGGTTCTATATCTGATGCAGATGTATTACGTGGATAATATTTAAAATGTTCTAGCATGTCAATATCACTGCTCTCTTTGGCCCTGGAAGATTGACTTGTCTGTCTTCCACCATATAACAGGTCTTCCTTTTATACTTGTCCCACTCTCCCTTGACCAAAACCATTTGTATTTCTAACTTTTGCTTGTTCTGATGCAACGTCACAGACTCGGAAGGTTGACTCTCTCCACAGGTGCTGTCATAAGCTGTTAAGTATGTACAATATTTTCTGTTTTATCTCTAGTATCTGCAGCATTTTGTTTTTTATTGGTTTTTGATACATCTTATTTCCTAGTTAATTATAGATTATTGCTCTCCATCCTTTGCAATTATTATATCCTTGCAGTCCAGATGCTGTTATTTCTCAGTTGCAAATGTACCAGATGACTTCTGGCAGGATGAGGTTAGAATTTGTTTCAAATTCTTTAATAGGATTGCTGGTCTATGATCAAGTAATTTTTTCAGTGTAATGTAATACTTCCTACATTGCAGTTGACTCGGCAACTTGCAGTGCTTATGTTCTGTACAGTGAACCTCACAGGCAACAAATTAAGGTGAATTTTGCTGTTGCAGTATGGTGTGTGTCTTTCAAATAAAGAATGAATAAAGCGATGGTGACTCCAGCAGAGTGATTTAAATGCAGTAAACTTACTTGTTGGTTTAACTAATAGAAAAAGACAGAAGTATAACAAATACCGGGTTAACAGATTGGAGAAAGAAAAAGCTGATTTTGGAAGAATAAATGGACAACAAATAATGAAAAACAGTAATGGGAAACATTTAAAACTATGTTCAGTAGAGTAGAGGGAAGAATACTTCTGCTAAAAAGTAACGAGATGATAAGTACTTGTAAGACTCCCATCAATGAATAAAGACATGAGGAAACAATTGATGGTTAGCGCAGAGGCATATATGAGGAAAATAAATGAAATTGTAACATTTTACATTTTACATTCAAAGAAATGGCTGTGATAGGAATAAATAGGATAGTGTAATATTGAGACAAATATTCAATAATTATTTCATAGTATTTAGCAGGGAGATAATTAGATAACTGAATTTAAAACATAAAAAGAGGAGATGTATTGAATAAACTCATTAAACTCAGGATAAAGCCTCTGCTTTGTATAAATTGCACATATGTAAAAGAACCCTGGGGATTTTTAAAAGAATGTAAGGAATATATCCTATATTACAACTTTGCCTCAACTTCAAGAAAATATAACATCAGAACGTCAGGCAGTTGAAAATATAGCGGAATTGCCATATTAATGTATGAACATTAATATTAATTACAATATATTAATGTATCGTCAATATAGGTTTTGAAAGAAAATGTCGTGTTTTTAAAATTTATAGTACTTGAAAATATGGATTGATTTGGAAAATTAGCATAGATGTTAGGACTAGAGAACCGAATTGTTATTCGTATAGTTAAAGCAATGAAGAATGAGGAAATATTTAATAAAGTAAATCAGAAAAAGTACTAAATTTTAAACTTTCAAACTAACTGGCCTGAGTAAGTGGCCTCATTTCTGGAAGTATCAAGATGATGTCCAGTCTAATTGTAGGTTGCAGAATGTGGGACAGACACCAACAGTATTTGTTAAATGCCCGTATTGGATTGGTAGTTCACTGAAGCCTGCCTCCTAGTCTTACACTGTCCTTGATGAGGAATGATACTCCTCGAGATACATAGCCACTTGTCACTCTCTAACAGAGAGTTGCCTATGGTATTTACTCATAGTCCATGAGGGAGAAGAGAAAACATAAAAATGTAACAAACTAAAATGACAGCAGGGAGTCAGGATTTGCAAATAGGAAGGGCATGCAAACAAGATATTTAGGAATTATACATTAATGGTGATTTTTCCATGTAACCTGCTCTCTTTACATCGGAAAATGATCATAAAGCCATATTGGATTTCTTTTCAAACATCTTTATAATTATGGAGAAAAGTGTACTTTGCATATTTTTTTTAATGAAATGTTGATGCTTGGCTAGTAGAATAAGAACCTATGGTGGCCATTTGCAGGGAGATTATTACTGTTCTAAGCAGAAATTACTTACAATTAATTAAAACCTATTTACTCTGCAAAATATGTCATGGAAATAATTTTGTGATTTTTTTTTTTTGCGCGGATGCTCATTGCTGATCTGCAGCACAGCCGAGTGTCATCAACTAACTTGTGAAGTAAAGTCTCATGATTTTAAAACATTATTCCCTCAACAAATATTCTTTCATTGTTGCTTTGAATGATTATTTAAAAGTTTGACTGACAAAGTACAGAAGCAACAGTGTATGTACAATTTTAGTTGTTGACTCTAGCTTTGAATGAAAAGGTGTTGGTGATTTAAAATTCATTGATCATCTGTTTCAAGAATTGTCACACAAATTTGTTTGGATTTGAATTTAAAATATTATCTCTAATTTTGTTTCAGTCATGGAAATAATTATGATCACAAGAATAAAGCCTTTCCGAGACTGAGTTAATTAAATTTCATTACAGGGCGTTTGCTAAGGGCTAACCAAATTTGTTTCAATTGGGATCGGCTTGCCTCTTGGATAAACCTCACAGAACAATGGCCATACAGGACCTCTTGGCTCATTCTATATCTGGAAGAAACTGACAATGTTCCAGATCATCTCACCCTGAAAAATACCTATGAAAGGTAACTATTTCATGTCCTTTGTCGTTAAGTTAAATTAATTGCCCATTTCAAACATACTTGTCTTAGAGCGTATTTACTTTTATCTACTGTTGGCACAAGTAGATCCTTTTTCAAAAACAGGAATTGCTGGAGAAACTCCTATTTGTGTATTTGTTTCAGATCTCCAGCATCTTCAGTTTTTTGTTTTACTTTAAATCATTTCTCAGCTTTGTATCGTTCTGTTCTAAACTTTTTGGTTTAATTTTGTTCTAAAAGGCTGTGGAGTAAATTTGAAAAATTAATCTTTCACTTCTAACATCTCTATTTGCCACCTTTCTTTTTCCTTGTGATTCAACATTTACAGCAGGAATTGATCCCCTAAGATTTAGGAGTCACTATGTGGGTGAATTCATATTCCGCTGCAGTGTCATCAAAGTTTCTAGAAGTTCAAATTAATGTCAGTTTAGGGTGTTGTTTACTTTGTAATTGATCCTTGAGTTCACATGTCTTTTCATTTTTGTAAAAGGCCGTGCTGCCCCCACTTTTACTGCAGAACAATTACTTCATCAAGTAAAAATATTAATGCCTTTGAATTCTCATGTCATTCACTTCCTGGTGGTGATATGGAAATTTAAAGTATCATGTGCTCAGGAAAACCCACTGACACTGAAGATGCCGTTGTACAGGATAGAACCCTGATCATCGGACTCTGATTAAACTTAATATCACGTCTGCTAATTTTCTAAACTCCTCATCTCAAAATATTAAGGCCATGTTGCTTTCCATAGATGTGAGAGTGATGTCTAACAGCTGATGCCATTGTAGACATAAATGTACGTTGCAAAGCAGCTCTCATGGGTGATCATCTGTATTGTTGCATTATTGAAATCACTTGCTTATATGATTCTCGGTTTTTAACCTACAAAAAACATAGCACTTTATCAGTAGTGGCTGCACAGATGGATTTTTGTTTGAAGAATTTGTTTCATTTTATTCAGTATTGAGATACCTCTATTAACAATGAAAAATAATTGAAGAACCTGACAGAAGACATCAAGCAAATCTTTGAACTCTAATAGATTTTTGCTAGAGAAGGAGATTGAAGTTTAGGGAATCAAAGCGATTGATCAGTCATGATGTAATTGAACGGTGTAATAGACACAAAGAGCTGATTGCCTATGCCTGGTCACGTGTTCCTAACCTGTCCAATGTTGATCATTTACTGATTCCCCATGCATCTTTTTTTCTTACTGTGCACTGTATACTTTTCCTATATTGCTCACTCACTTTGTTATTGATTGCTTCAATTCAATGCTTAAAAAGCTTAATTATCTTAGTTTTCATGCTAAAGATCAAGCTTGTGGTACTTCCCTGAACTGCTTCATATGGTTGAATATCTCCGTTATCTAGATGACCAGGTCTCAATATCGTACTGCAGATGTCATCTAACTAGAGCATGATACAGTGCCATCTTAACTTAGTTCAATATCTGATGGACTATTTTAATATGTTGGAGATTTTGAAGGTTTTGGAAAATTTGAGATTGTTGGAATTTTCTGTTTCAGAGGGTTATGGTAGCTCAGTTGTGAAATATGTTCAAGTTTTTTTCAGATTAAAAAGATTATGGGATACACAAGTAGTTTAGGAAAAAGGTGAAAAATGTATAAGCTCAGTGATCTCATTGAATGGCAGAGTGAGTTCAAAGTGCTGAATGGCCCACTCCTGCTATTACTTCTGTTCTTAATCATTTGCTGGTGAAATGCTTGCATACTGAAGGAATATTTATGAAATTTTTTGTCTACTCCATGCGATTATTTTTAATCTTTTTTTTTTCAGTATAGACCAGTAAGGCTGCTTGAACAGTTTGTAAAATACTAAAACCATGAAGAATGCACAGCCCTGAAACACTTTGGCTGCGCTCCCAAATGTGATGTAGCTTGTGGTTGGGGGCACAGCTGATGAAGAGTTTATAGACTGCCCTATGTGACATATCAGCTGAGAATTATTCAAATTCTTTAGAACAGACCTTTTTAGCTGTTTAATTATTCTTATGACTAAATTAATTTCTTTTTGGCCCTGAAGAACTGCCTTAAAAATAGCTGCCATCAATACTTTGTCTACTAGCATTACATTTTTTTCAGACTAATGAATCAAAAATGAAATTGATATTTACTGGACAAATTGAGAGGGAAACCTATTTAGGTTATAATGTACATTAATCTTATTTCAGTTTTTGAATTTCTAAGCATCTGCCAGAAGGATCTATCTAATCTGCTATTTTAGGATTGATTGATCACTTAGTTAGTACAACTTTGAAGAATTTTAGATTAATTTTGGCAATTGAGTAAAAACTTTGAACCGTGCTGAAATTCAGTGGTAACTTTGTGGGTTTCTGGTTTCAAAAATGGGAGTTAATCTATCTAGAATTTGTTCTAGACAAGAATATTGCAACACCATCATTTCCCTTAGCAGTTGTATTTTAAATTTAAAAAAAAACTGAAAATTAGTTTCATTTTTTAAAAATTCTGTATTTTTTTTTAATCTACACTTTTTCAGATAATTGAGATGATGCAAATAGCATGCTTGGTAAATGTTCTTTCACACACTAACATTTCTGACAATCTATAAATATGATTTTTTAAGAATTGTTCTATAATATTTCTTATGATTATCTTCAGAATTTCCAAAAACATACCAACTACCAAAGATGTGGAGCCTCTTCTAGAAATTGACAGTGATATTCGCAGCTTTGAAATTTTCCTATCTTCAAGAATGCCCATTCTTTCAGCTCGTGACGTAAAAATATTTCTACCATGCACAGTGAATCTGGATCCTAAACTGCGTGAGATTATTGCAGGTGAGTACTTTTCAATTGGGATAGTTATGTAGGCCAGGCTTATCAACCAGAGTGTTTTGAGAGTGACTTGTGGCTTTCCTGTAGCTTACTTTATTTCTTTATCTGTCATTCTCCAGGCCTGAATTATGTTTTAATAATACACAACAACAAGGAATATGGTACTCTGAATTGACTTTAATTCCGTTCTTAACTGGTTAATATTATTTATTTTGACTTAATGCTAATATTTACTGATAGTAAGGACCAGTACTGGCCTTCCTTATTTTAAAAAAAACACTAGGCATCCTAAACTTCAGCTTTGTGATCAGGCTATGTACAAAGTACACAGCGTACAATCAGGGGGCAGAAATAAGCCTTGAGCCTGCTTCGCCTTGGATCTGATTGTAACACCAGATCCATAGGCACACGTACCCTGATAACACTTCACTCTCTTTTGCTTACTAATAATCAATCCTCCTCTGCCTTTTAAATATTCAAAGACACTGCTTCTATCATCTGTTCACACAATCAGAAAGAGAGATCACATCCAGAGTGAGGCATAGCTTGAGTGAGCATAGATTTCTAAGATTTTGGTGCTGAGGGAAAGAAATTTTTTTTTTTTTGTTTTCATTTTTGGTTTGTAGTCTTAAAAGTTTTTGTAACAGGATAACTTGAAGCCCAGGGATTAGGGGGCCAGCACAAAACAGAGTGACATCACAAGGCAGTATGATGGCTCAGTGGTTAACACTGTTGCCTCAGTGCCAGAGACCCAGGTTCGATTCCAGCCTTGGGTGACTCTCTGTGTGGAGTTTGCACGTTCTACCCATGCCTGCGTAGGTTTCCTCCAGGTGTTCCTGTTTCCTTGCACAGTCCAAAGATGTGCAGGATGGGTGGATTGGCCTTTTAAATTGCCTCAGTGTCCAGGTTTGTGCAGGCTAGGTGGGTTAGTTATGGTAAATGCGTGGTTACAGGGATAGGATGTGGAGAGTGGCATGATCTTCGGATGGACGGTACTGACTTGATTGGCTAAATAGCCTCTATTTGCACTGTAGGGATTCTGTGATTCTATGAAAACCATAGTTCATTGATTGGTGATAACTGTTAATTTGAAAGCAAATTATAGTAGATAGTCTGATTAAAGGTAAATAGAAGAAATATTTTGCAGATTAAAATGAAAAGACGAGGAGGAAACTTATAACAAAAAATTAAGAACTAAGTAAACAAAATAGAGATGCAGGACCAGGCAGTTTACCTGCATGGCATAGGAGTTGGTGGACCCCATTTGTAGTTCGTAGTGACCAAACTGTAGCGAGTGTTTGTTGTTGAGGACCTCCAGCTCCCTGTGACACAAGATGGAGGGGGAAGAGTGACCTTAACGCTGTTTTGAATGGCAGTCACACACCCTGTTAGATTAACTATCTCAAATTTGACCAGTGGTCAGGGACGGGGTGGGAATGACTACAAGCAAGACAGGGAGACAGATCCAGGAGGTAGTGCTGCAGGAGCCTCAGCCATTGAGCTCCTCAAACAGGTTTGAGATTCTTACTCCCTGTGTGGACGAGAGGTGGGTACTCTAGGGCAGATGGGTAAACTGACCATAGTACTATAATACAGTGAGCCATTCAAGAGGGGGCAGAAAAGAGAAGTGTAGTTGTAATCGGAGATAGTGTAGCTAAGAGAATAGACACCATTCTCTCTGCCTAGGATTGAGAGTTCTGAAGGCCGTGTTGCCTGCCTGATGCCCTTGTTCAGAATATCGCATCTGGGCTACGGAGGAGCTTGGAGTGGGAGGGGAAAGACCCAGTTGTTGTGCCTATGTAGCTTACTGATGATATAGGTAGAAAAAGAAAGCAGTTTTACTGAGGGAATATGAGCAGGTAGGGGCTAAATTAAGAAGCAGAACCAACAATGTGCGGAGGTAATCAGAAAGGCTAATAGAATGTTGTCCCTCATTTCAAGTGAGTTGGAGTATAAGAGCAGGTAAGACTTGCTGCAGCTTTCCAAGGTGCTGGTAACCCCACAGTTGGAGTACTGTGAGCAGTTTTGGTTCCCTTATTTAAGGAAAGGTATTTCCATTAGAGACAGTTCCAAGAAGGTTCACTAGGATGATCCCTGGTATGGACTGTTATGAGCAAAGGCTAATCAAGTTGGGACTGTACTCACTGGAGTTGAGAAGATTGAGACATGAGCTCATTGAAACACGGGATTCTTAAGGTGCTTGACAGGATAAGTGCTGAGAGGATGTTTCCCCTCATGGAGAATCTAGGACCAGAGGGCGTAGTTTCAGAATAAAGGGGCATCAATTTAAGACTGAGATGAGGAGAAATTTCTTCTGAGGCTTGAAAGTCTTTGGAAGTCCTTACTGCTGAGAGCTGAGCAGAGTCCTTGTGTATGTTTAAGGCTGAGAGAGACTGTTGATCAGGAGGGCAATAACAGGTTACAGGGAAAATGCAGGAAAGTTGATATGAGGTAGGCTGGATCAGCCATGATCCTATTTAAAGGCAGAGCAGGCTTGAGGGGCCAAACCATCTACTCCTGTTTCTATTTCTTATGGACTTCTTATTTGTTTAGGGAGAGTCTCAGAGGATGAGGAAAGTAAATTTACTTCATCTCTTGTTTTAAATGAGTGAGCCCTGATTTTAAACAGCGATCCCTAATTCTAATCCTCTTTTCAGAAGAAACTTTCTCATCGCATCTACCGTGTCAAGGCCCCTCAGGACCGTCTGTGTTTTAATCAAATAACCTCTTACTCTACTTAACACCAACCTATGTAAGCTGTCTGTCCAATCTTTCCTCATCTCATAGAATTTGCCAGTTCAGGTTTTAGTCTCTCAAACTTTCTCTGAACTGCTTCTCACAAATTTACGTCCTTCCTTAAATATGGTTACTAACACTACGTACAATGCTGTAGGTGTGTTCTCATTGGTGCTCTGTATAACTGGAGAAATAACCTTTTAAGTTTTGTAAACAATCATTTGAATAAGGTCATTTTAACTCTTTTCTAGTTTGGTCTGTCCGTCTGAGCTGGATTTCCCATATTTCAACTTCTAAAAAACTGAAATTTGGATTAATAACTTAAGTCAATATACGTAATTGCTCCATCACCACAATTCACCACTTTAACAGCAGATTTTATTTTAGTTTGATATTGTTTCTAACAAAGGACAATAACGTTCAATTGTCATTGCAGCATCCATGCAGTGAAGTCTCCTAATCTGTATTTTTTATTATTTTGAGTTTTTCTATATTCTATTTCTGAATAGATATATGCTTGTAACAGAGATGAAATACCAGCTTGATTTGAACTAGACATGCGCGGGTCTAATAATTCAGGCTATTAATATACTTTTGAAATTCTACCAAATGCGTTTTTATTACTATAGAAAGCGTCAAACCAAATATCAACATGCCAAAACGGGACAAATTATTTTCTAGTTATTTGCAATTTTTTTTATTTGTTAAAAGAAACAAAATTGTGGGTGTTTTAATCTCATTATGATTGTCTTTCTTGAATTTTCTCTGCACACTATGTGGATTTACTGAATTCCAAGACTTTAATCAAAAAAACTAGATAGACGTTCCATTTCAGAGAGAATGCTGCACTTCTGGAAGTACTGCCCATTGGATAAGTAAAATAGGCCTGAGTTTCTTAGGTTAACATAACCAATCCATGACACCATATGGAGGAATATCAGGGTCATTACCTTAAGCGTCCTGGTCAATATTTATCTTTCCAAAAAGGACTGTTTCAAAAAGAAATTGAGTATTTTGTCATTATCATATTGCTGTTTGTGGGAACTTTCTCAGCATGAATCAGCTGTCTTGTTCCCTGCAACATTGTTATAATGTTTCTATTTCACTGACAGTGATCATGAAGTGCATTATATAAATACAAGTCTTGTTTCTCTTCTGTCTGCTGGAAGTAGCCTGACATTGGGTACAATTAATCATTGGATCCCAGGTAGCACAAGAGGTAATTTCCAGAAGTCGGAAATGTGGTTTAAAGTTTTAAATGGATATCTCATGCACGGACCACTTGTACTAGTTCACAAAGCCTTTGGGCTTGTTTTGGCTTGCTGAAACTGTGTTTGTGAACCTTAGCTATGTTAAATAAAATATGTCTTTGTTCAACGCCTGCAGATATCCGAGCAGCTAGGGAGCAGATGTCCACTGTAAATATCACCGGGATTCCTTATCCTGCACTACCCTTTCAGGAAGCTCCACCTCGGGCTGTGTCTGTGTTCAGCCAGGCACCGTCTGTCTGCTCCTCCTCAGCTTCTTTCAATGGTAATGTAGTATCACCACAACATCCCAGCAGCTATTATAGTGGCATGGTTGGACAGCAGCATCCATTTTATAATCGGGTAAGTAAACTAAAATCTGTTATCACGTAGATGCAAAATGACTGCGGACATGTTAAAGAGAAGTATTGAGTTGACCCTTTCAACATTCCCATACCCCCTTATTGATTTCTAATCGTGTATTACTTTTGTTTATTTTAAGTTTCATTAATCATTAATTAGGGTTTGAAAAGTAAACATTCTACACATATGAAAATGAGATGTCATTTGTCACAACCAGATATGTGCACTATGTGGTCAGTGAGCTGTAGCCTCTGTAGGCACCTTTTTAATTGATAATGATTCAAGTTAAAGTAGACCAGCAGTCAAGCTTTCATTTAAAGCATAGCTTATTGTCAGGTTATTACCAGAAGTTACTTGGTGATAAAGTTATTGACAAACATTTACAGATTCCAAAATTAAAACAATTACAGGAAAGACAACAGAGACTTTGTAAGAAGGAAGCATCAATAATTACTTATGGTATACTGTTGGAGCCCATTGTTTGAATTCCATGTTTCTGCAGCAAAGAAGTTAACACTTGCCTTCAGACGCAGCATTTGAGATTGCTTCTGTAATTGAATAGGTAGCATTTTCTGTACAGGACATTTACTCCAAACTGCAGATTATAGCGGGGAGAGAGAGAAGGTTCCTGACTTCTGATCTTTATAATGTAGCACTTTTGGCTCCTTATAGTGGTTTCATTCTAGGCCGCTCACATGCTTTGTCATTCTCAGAGAGTTGTTTCTTCTGTGATGGTTTAAGATAGAATCTCACTTTACCTGGGCAGCTTGCCTTTGAAATCATTTTGAGCTACTTTTTGTATGCCATGTCTGGGAATGTGTGTCTAATCCATACAGAACTGGCAGTAGTATAGTTAAGTGACTTATAGCCGACTTGTAACTTGCCCATTTACAATCAGATTAACTTTTAAAAATTGAAGCATATAATTTTTTCCCCAAAACGTACCGGGCAATAACTGCACAATCATGCTACATTCCATACGTTATGTGTGTGTGTATTTTTTTTTTGTGACTTCATTTGATTTTTCATAAATTGTTTTCTTTCCACCTGTTCCTTTCCCATAGCCATATTTTGCCCCTCCTATTTGTTACGTGCCAAGACAATACTTTGGTAGTTTGCAGCATCCCGTCTCGCGTTCATCAACTAAAACCAGTTTGTCAAGAGAACAGAACAGTAATCTAGTAAGTATTGCAAATGGAATAAAGTAAGAGGAATAAAGGAATATAGTAGTCCGGAAATGTAGAATGAATTTTTAAAAAATTCTAAACTGTGTCTGTGAAACTTTACTTCTGTCAGGCATAGTACACATCTACAAAATACTAATTCAATACTGTATATTAATGAAGCACTAATTAAAAAAAATATAGCATTGTTTCTCAGTTTTCACCAAAATAGTATGTTTACAAGGCAGTCATGCTTTGCTTTCTTGGAGGTTCCTCTCCCCCATTTTAGTTTTACAAACAAAAAATTGTTTTTTTTAAATGAATGCTAATCCAATTTTCTACTTTCAGATTCTATAAAAATTTTGTGTTTTCATTTCAAACTATTTGCCCTTGGATATGAGCGATTAAACCAGCACTAGCTGTTCTTTTAAAGTTGATTACTCACTTTGAATACCTAAATTGTGATTTCTTCCTGTTTTAATCCTGAGTTAATAACTTAACTTTAGGTTTGGGTTTTGTGTGCCCAAACGATTGAGAAAATGTAAACTAAACCAATTATTTTGGAATATTTATGATTCTTACAGTTAATCACAGCTATTATTTTGTATGAAAGAACAGTAACGCGATTTACTGTCAAATATATGAAGTAAATGTAAGTTAAGTAACATGCTGCCAACCATTTGTTTTCAATAGTGAAGGATAAAAATTGCTTCTAAATTACTAAAAAAGCAATAAAATCCAGTCTGGCTGTATGACTGTCGGATCGACATCTTTGACCACTTGAATACTTTGGCTTGCCATTTCCTGTATTTGTGATATATAAGCATTCTGTGCATTCAAAACATCTAATAGTTACAGAATGATTACTTAGTTGAATTAAATAAATACTTGTTTATTTAAACAATTGCAAAACACAAAGCAAATTCACTATTTTGCATGCTATGCTGACGAGAGGTGTACATTATTTTCTTTGATTTATTTGTAATGTTACCAAAATTTTGACTTTGTTCTTGTCAGGAGGTGATCGAGGAGGCTGCTGATGAGGGGCTTCCTTCCCCCACAGACACCTCACTGGTAATGAGTAGTCATGTGGTGTGGAGTTGTAGCATCTCATTGCTTCTTCCACTGTGATGATACCTAACCACTTAGAAAGGCCTTTTGAAACAATATTTTCATTTTCGTCTTCCCTGTCTGTCTCTGGTATGATTTATGTGGTTGTGGTGTTGACCATAATGTTATTGTTCAAATCTTTTGCAGCCTAAATCAGTCTACTCATTTCGTCAGGTTAGTTCATAGAACTAGACTTTATTAAAACCAGCTTCTGGAAAAATATCCTTGCAACCTAATACCACTTCATAGGTAAATTGTTATCAATACCATCCCAGGGGTTGTCATTGGCTCGTCTAGTTCAGTTTTTAGTCATATATTAACGCAGCTAAAAGAGCAGGTCAGAGGCTAGAAATCCTGCAGCAAGTAACTCACCACCTGATTACATAAAGCCTGTCTATTTACAAAGCACAAGTCAGAAATGTAATGGAATACTCCCACTTACCTGGATATGTACACCTCCAACAACACTTAAGCTTGACACCATCCAGGACAAAGCCCATTTGATTAGCACCACATGTACAAACATTCACTTTCTGTACTACAGATGCAAATTATTAGTAGTGTATGCACTACAACAGTCTGCCAAAGCTTTTTAGACAGCACCTTCTAAACCCATGACTACTGCCATCTAAAAGGACAAGAGTAGCAGTACATGAGAAGACCACCAACTACAGATTCCCCTGCAAGCCCCTTGCCATCCTGACTTGGAAACATATCTCAGTTCCATCAACATCACTGGGTCAAAATCCTGAGATTCCCTACCTAACACGTTATGGTTCTACCTAGAGCACATGGACTCTAGCAGTTCAAGAAGACAACTCATCATCATCTTAAGGGCAACTAAGTATCGACAATAAATGCTGGCCCAGCCAGTGAAACCCACATCCCATAAACAAACAAAAGCAAATTCTTACTCTACAGAAAATTCAGTTTAACAAACTATCATTTAGTGATCAGTGCTGAATGTGGCCAATCACAACAGTAGCATTGATGAACACAGCAGGCCAAAAAGCATCATAGGAGCAGGAAGGCTCGGATTCTCCAGCATCTGCAGTTCCTACTATCTCTGCAACAATAACATTTTTTTATTTATATTTGTTCAAGTTTATTGGACTTGATCTGAAGCTGCAGTTAACAATACAAATGTCCTGATGAAATGGGTGGTGGAAAAATAAGCCTTTGAGGATTTGAATACAAATCCTGCAAGTGTCTCTTAAAAAAAAAAAAAAATGAAATATCTTTGTCATTAAATGGGATTTAGTATGATTATAAATGTATTAAGATGTACTGTAAATGATCAAGCTGGATGGTAGTCCTGCTGAAACTGTTACTATGTGATTTTATTGTAGTAACCTAATGCAACAGGTTATACTTGTACAGATCCTTTAATGTAATGAAACACACCAAGGCACTTCACAGGGTCATTATGGAACAAAATTTGTCTGACCCACATAAGGAGGTATTAGCTCAGATAACAAAACGTTTGTTCAGAGTAGATTTTAAGGAGCCTCTTGAAGGAGGAAAGAGAGGTGGAGAGGAATAAGGAGAGAATTTCAGAGTTAGAACTGTAGGCATGGTCATCAAAGTTGATGCAATTATACAGTGAAATCATGATGAGTCAAATTTGGACAATCCAAAGTTCCAGTTGGTCAGAGTTGTTAGCCATTCTCACTGACAGAATATCACATTTATTACAATGATGCTGACAATAAACTGAAGTTCTGGACTGGTAACTCCAGGTTAGCCGCACTCTTGCAAGCTTGTTATGTGATCACATCAACCAGTTGGAGTGGACTTAAGCCATGCTTGAATGTGAAACCACAGATAAATGATCACTTGACATTAAGATCTCCCTGTGAAGGTATATTGTAATCCTGCAAGTATGATTAAGAGTGCTGTCAATTGGAGAGAAATTGAAGTTGATACGGCAAGTGGACAGCTAAAAATGAGCATCACTAAGGAGTGGGAATTTCCACAACATCTTGGAACAGTTTATAACCAGGCATTTTCTATGCAAGGAATAGGTTAAGAACGGCAACCTATCTTGACAATGAACAAGTTCCACTTAGTGGTTCAAGGCAACTCGAGCAGATAACATTCCTACAGGAATAGATTAGAGATGGGGAAAAGGGACCCCCGGCAAAGGTGCTAGGCCACAAAGGGTGTATCTGCAGCAAATGATGGATGCATCAACTCAAGACTAGAGGCATTGCTGCCTTCAGTATCGTGAGGAAACAGTAATTATGGCAGCAGTGGCAGATGGTTGGCTGCAAAATTGTCTCATCAATGTCTTAGATTAGTAGCAAGTGCGTTTTAATGTTGATGAAACCTATCTGTTTTACCCTCTTTGGTCAGATTGCTTTCTGCTATGATAAAAAGAAACACATGTTGGAAAAGCAAGCACAAATATCATACTGAACATGCAAAATGCAGTCTTGTACATGAATGAGCTTTAAAGTCAAAATTGAAGACTCTTGTTCCAGGGAACACCACTAATGAGGCAAGGTTTGACTTCTTGCTGATAATTTGCTTATAATTCTTTGGAAATTGACCTGTTTTGCAATGCATTGCTGATGTGCAAGAGCATTGACCATGGGTCACTGTTTGGACAGTATCACGTCTTTAGAGCTTAGTACTGTACTCAAATAATAATCACATTTACATACATCCAGAATGATTGATTCCTAAATATGTCACTAGATTTGGAAACCAGGAGATGCCTTTCTTGACTTCAAGATACTGTGGCAATCTAATCAACAGACTGCATCCTGAGAGTAAAGTCGTGAGTCCTGAAAAGCATTAGCCTGTCAGCATATTACAAATCCTATTTCCCGTATTCTCCTTTTCAAATACATATCCAGTTCATTTTTTTGTATGAAATAAAAACAATGCTGGAAAAAAACTTAGCAAGTCTGATTGCTTCTGCAGAGACACTGAAGAAGAATCATATCTAACTCAGAACGTTAACTCTGTTTCTGTTCCCACAGATGCTGTCAGACCTGAATTTTTCCAGCACTTTGCTGGAAATCTGAAGTAGTAGCATGCACAGAATTTTGCTTTTATTCACTTTTACATTATTTTGGTATTTGATACCTGCTGTCACTGTGGAGGTGGAAGAAGGATTGAATGTTTAAGGTGGTAGATGAAGTGCCACTCAAGCATGCTGCTTTTTGGTGTTTATTGGAGCTGCACGCACCAGACTCATGAACATTATTCTACCTCGTTCCTGACTTTTGCCTTGGAGATGCATTATACACAGAACAATTCCCAGCTTCTGATACGCTTGAGTAGTTGCTGTATTTATACGGCTGCTCTAGTTCACTTTCTGGTGAATGGTAACCCCCCAGCATGCTGATGTTGATGGTGATTGTTTCAGTAATGGTAATGCCATTGAACATCAAGGGAAGATGGTTAGATTCTCTTTCATTGGCAATGGGTCATTACCCAATACTTGTGTAATGTGATTGTTACTTGCCACGTTTTAGCCTAAATCTGAATCTCGTCCATGTCTTGCTGCCATGCTTCACTATGTAAAGAACTGCAAATTATACTGAACACTGCAGCCATTAGCTCAAATCTCTACTTCTGGGCTTAGCATGATAGGTGGTTACTGATGAAGAAGCTAAAGATGATTGGGTTAGAATATTATGATGTTTTCATCTACAATAGTATAGCTAATCTTTGGGTCGTCAGCAATTTTGTATCGGCGGTTCTTTCATCTCTAATAAGTAGTGAATAGATGAAGCCTCAAACTGATACCTGTGGAACAGTCCCCCCCAGTGGTTACATCCAGTCAGTTAAACCATCTGCCACATATCTGTCTGTGTCGATGACACAGAAACCAGGCAGCAGTCATGGGCAACTATGGCCCGTAAGGACTGATTGATTGATTGTGTTTGAAAAAGCTT